TGGGCTAGCTTGATTATCACTTCAAAAGTTTTTTTTTTTGTTTTTTTTTTCTCTTAATTAATTGGCCTCTCAGAGGTGGTAAGACAACTCCCACCTGTTTATGCTCTCTGTATGTGTGTGTATATATATCTCCTCAATATATGTTCCATTCCATATGCATCCGAAGAAGTGGGCTGTAGTCCACGAAAGCTTATGCTCTAATAAATTTGTTAGTCTCTAAGGTGCCACAAGTCCTCCTGTTCTTCTTTTCACAAGTATATAAAAAACATAAGCTCTGGGCCTTATGCCCCAAAAGGCTTCCTCAATATGCGGTCTGTCTGTGTATGGTACATATGTTTGTGAATGATACAAATGTAACAGTGTCAAATATGTTGTTGCTCTGGGGCACTAGAGAGTTAAGGCAAGATCCTTGGGGCAAATCAACACAGTTCTGAGGCTCTAGACCTTGGTCTGTACCTCGTATGTCAATCAATTGAGATCTTGTTTATATTTCTGCATATACAGAGTCCTAAATAAAACCATTTGATGTCCTTTCCTAAATAAAGAAAATGCCCAGAACTGTGGAGGTTGTAATGCTGGCAATAATGCCTATATTATTTTGGAATTTACACAACATCAAAAGAAGTTTGCAAATCATCTAGGGCAGAGATGACTATAGGGACTGATAATTCAATATTGTAACATTTCATATTAAGCTCTTTGGTGAAAGGACTATTACTTATATGTTTAACGGTGCCTAGCACAGTGGGGTCCAACCTGGCTGAGGCCTTCCAGGTATTACTGCACTATAAATGCAGAGTAATGTGACTTGGTTGTGTCTAATAATTTTTTCAATTGTTTTTATTTTCAGTGATGTAGCCAATGAACTGTCTTGTGAAACTAATACATACTAACTACCGTGAACTTAATGACAAAAGCAACCCTACCAACACCACCATACCTCCAGCACATAGGTGGAGACAGGATTTCTTGATTTTTGGTTTTAATTGTTCTTAATCTCACTTAGAGGCACTCGTGTAATATAATAAAATTGGTGATATGCAGGAGGAGACTTTTGGGAGCTCCTTGTTTAAAATTTTATAATTTCTTTGAAGGGAAGATTTGGGAAGATTTTTCTTGTCTATAAGGGAATTGCTGTCTCTTGGGTACTGCTAACTGATCTTTGCCAGAGAATGTCTCCTGGGGCTCATAATTATTTCTGAGGAGCATTGGAAACTCTCCAAATTGCACCAGCTGCCAGGTAAGGGCTCACCATAGATGGGCTACCTCCTTTAGTATCCATATATGGTACTCAGTGTATTTTTTTCAGTGAAAAGTATAAAAATTTCTAGCAAAGGACTTTTAATAAAATGTGTAACTGTTGTGGTGTCTCCTTGTTTGATTATAGAATATTTTTATTTAAATGGGGAAACTACCTAAACAGATCATCCAGTTTGTTGCCCTTCTTCTACAGGAACCTGAACACCCTGGTTGATGAAGTTCTACAGGCTGAGGAGGAAAATTTTATGGAAGCCCTTGTTAAAATACTTGCAGCATATTATTGAATCAACTGGTTGCAATTGTTCTAGTATCTCAGAAACTATGTTTTTAGCTTAGTTGCATGTAGGTCAGAATATGAATATGCCTTCAACTGGAACTTGTTAAACCAAAAGATGGGATTATCCTGTCCATTAAAGCCGGGGCATTCATAAAACAGTCTGATCATACAACGTTTTGTTTGTCTAGCAGACAAAGGCAATGACCGTTTTTTCTCTTTGGACCTACCAGCTTTCAGTGCAAACAAACTAGTAGAATGTAGCCATTCCAGTTAGGGATGGAAATAGAAGAGAAAACTACACACGCTATCAAGCAAAGTAAATAAATTGATAACAGAAAAATGGCCTTTAAACCATGGGGCCTGAAAATTCCCAGAATTTATGGCTACTAGTTTCCAATTAATCTATTTTACCGTTTGCCAAAGTCCATTATTTTATAGTGAAAGCAGCTGCCATTTTCAGCCTTTTTCTCATTATTCCTCACTATTATTGAGCTTCTTAACTGAAATAAAGCTATTCAGGTCTAGTCATTCCATTTAAGGAATAAAAATCAGTAAATGCTTTGAAATACCTTTTTTTGTGTGTTACAAAACATACTCCAAATACCTTTTTGTAAATAATTAACTGAATTTTCAAAAGAAATACTGAGTTAGCCACTAGTGTTCACAGAATGGTGAAAACTATTGTTAGAGACCATGAATATGGCATTTAAAAGCTGGATTTTTCTCATAATTTTGGTTGATTCAGGAGAAACTTCGGCAGAAGGTAAAAGTACTGAGGCATTCATTTATTTATAAAATAATATGATAATCTAGAATATAGTTTACATATTACTTTTAGGAAAGTGCTTTATGCAGTTGCTTTAATTTGATAAATGGTTTTATTCTTAATGGGAATATATTTTTGCTAGTGGGGTTTGTATTTCTAATATTTTTGATTGAACACTTGCTATGAAGAGTGAGCTGTTGCTATGTTGAACCTTGAAATTTTGACACAGATATAGCACCTATGGGAAACGGTTCAGACACTAACATATGAACATCCCATTTTATTATTTCTGGAACCACTTCCTTTGAGCTCATTCCGCAGCAGTTACAGAAACAGACTTTAGTTCTATTTTATTTGTAGATAAATCATATAAATTGCAGTGGTTGAAGGTATGCAGACTTATAAAAGTAAAAGAGAATAGGGAATCAAATGCTAGCCTATAGCTAATAACCTAAGATGATGCTCTGCACCTCATGTTCCTGGTTCCTCCAGCATGGGATACTGCTCCCTTCACCCCTATTTTCTAGAAGCCAAGATTTTTAACTATTCCCATCACTAGATAATATGACAAGCCACTGTATCCATCTCCCTTACTTTTTTTTTTCTGCAGGCTGGGTCACTTCTAACTGGACCAATCTACTCTTGTCTATATTTTTAGTTTTTTCCACTGTAAGAAAATTACATCCTGTCAATCTATAAATTCCTGCCATGTAGCTTCCAGAGTGCAGACCAATTTACAGACTGCTCTCCGCTCTCTAGGTTGGACCTGCTTGAATTAAGGTGCCCCCTCTTACCTTCTCTTGCTAGGCCTGTCTAAAGGAATTAGGAATGCAGGAATTTCAAGTTTGTTTAGTACAGCAATATGTTAATTCAATAAGTCATTAATCAAGCCTGATGATGTCAATAATAGTTTACTAGTAAGTAGTAGTTACTTTCCTTTGTTCTAACAAAAAGAAATGCAGGGGTGCCAAACTCACTTCGGGCAGAAGGCCACATTCCATGTTAAGTGATAGCCCATGGGCTAAAATATAACTGAATTTAGAATTCAGTTCTCCAGTCCCCAACAATTTCCCACTGATGTCACAGTTAGGGCTTGTTTACACTTACAAGTTTTGTCGCCAAAAACTAGCTTTTGGAAACAAAACAGTGATAGTGTACACACTGCAAGGTCACTTTTTTCAGGAAAAAAACCCTAGTTTTGGGGACATAAAACGTCCACCCCTGTGAGAGACTTTTGTCTTTTCCCCTCCCTTTATTGTCGACAAACAGCCAGTGTAGACACCACAGTTCTTTTTCTGATATTATCGGCCTCCAGAAAGTATCCCACAATTCCCCTGCTGCTGCTCTGGTCAGTCTGCCCCTCCCCCTTGCAAGCCCTAGGACTCTTAAATCTCATTTCCTGTCTGCTGGTTTCCCAGAGGAGCTTCCTGGGTGAGCATAGCTGGCTATCATCCCAAACGTGCTCCCGCTTGGCCCACCGCTGAGTTGTTGTATCTGATCAATATATGGGGAGAGGAGTCTATTCAGTCGCAGCTGCGAGTGACCTGTAGGAATCAGGACACATACGGGCAAATTTTTCGAGGCTTGTGCGATAAGGGCTATGATCAGGACACATAGCAGTGCAGAGCGAAGATAAAGGAGCTGAGGCAGGCATACCATCGCTCCGGTGGTGCACCTAAGACCTACTGCATCTATAAGGAGCTGAATGCTATTCTCGGTGGTGACTCCACCTCCATCGCCGATTGCCCTGTGGATACTTGTCATGCTGCTGAAAGAGGGGGTAACCCTGAGGCTGAAATTGTGGATGAAGTTGAGCTAGAAGAGGCTGTGGTGCTCCCAGCAGGTGGGGCACACAGCCAGGAACTTTTCTCCACTCCAGAAGTGCTCAACAGGGAGCAGGAAGCAGATGAGACTCCGGGTAAGTTGCTGTGGCTTGTGTAGGGAATCGAAAAGTGGGAGGCAGGTAATGTATAGCTAATCTACATGGCCAAGCAGGGTGTCAGTGGACATTGAGATCTTCAGGGAATCCTCCAGGGAGAGGCTCTGAAAAGTTTCCAAGCGGTACTTGTTAATCCTCTGCTGCAGATTCCAAGGGATTGCAGCCTTGTTAGGTCCCCCATTGTAGGAAACTGTACCATGCCATTTAGCAATCACTGGAGCTGGGACTAAAGCGGCACATAGCTAAGCTGCATATAGACTGTGGTGAAAGCCACAAGCATTCAGAAGCTGAGCCCTGGTTTCCCTAGTGACCCTCATCAGCGAGTTGTCAGCCAGCAGGCTGGCCGCCTGTGAAAAATTGTGGTATAATTTTAGAATGAGTTCCCTGTAAAGCTGCCCTGCAAGCAGAGACCTTTTTGTCCGTACCCACAACTACCTTGCCCCCCCTACTCCTGAAACTCCCCAGGATTGGGGTGCTTGCGGAGCTGTGTGCCTGCCTAGAGACTCGGAGAGAAAGTGATTTCTACTAGCAAATAGCCCTTTTTACTAAAATGTTTCAATCGTTTGCTGGAATGTAACAATCCCTCTTCTGTTCAGCACAGACCTTTAAGAACACATCACGCACCCCTGGGGACTGGCTGCAACAGATAAGAAAAAATCCTAGGCGCAGCAAAGAAGAGATGTTCCGTGTGGTGTTGCAGTGTGATGAGAGATAGACCAGGGCACGGAAAAAGTGCTGGGAAGCTGAAAGGCAGGACAGAAAAGAGAGTGCTGCTTTTGCTAGGCAAGCGGCAGAGCGGATGATAAAAGTTATGGAGGATCAGACCGGGATGCTCAAGTCCTTGATACAGCTGCAGACTGAGCAGATCAGAGTTCGAGTGCCTCCGCAGCAGATGCACAATTCTTTGCCAACCCCATTCCCTCTATGCTGACACATTCCTTTTCACATCACAGCACTCCTGAGTTTCCCCAGCACTCCACCCCCTCTCACAGCTTGCACAATGATAGCTGGAGCTACATGCAGTTGTGAGATTTTACCCTTATAACAGTAAATAAGGTTAAGGTATTTAATGGTACAGCGTTTTTATTCTGTGTTCTACAAAAGCATATAGCAATCAATTCACTCTCTGGTACAGGCTTCTAAAGCATTGTGTTGAATGGATCTTGGGCCCCAAAATTGTACATGGATGCAACAGGGAAGCAACTCCAAAGCAGACATGCATTACTGTCCCTCATTGTCAAACTGGTTCCTCAAAGCCTCTCTGATGTTAATAGCAGCCCTCTGGGCTCCTCTGACAGCCCTAGCATCTGGCTGTTCAAACGGTGCAGTCAAGCGCTCTGCCTCAGTGCTCCACACCTGAGCAAACATTTCATGCTTAGATTCACACAGATTATGCAAAGTGCAGCATGTGGCTATGACCACAGGAATATTATCCTCGGTAAGGTCTAGCCTGCCATTTAAACTCCTCCAGTGAGCTTTCAAACATCCAAAGGCACATTTGACTACCATGCAGCACCTGCTCAGCCTGTTGTTAAAACGCTCCTTGCTGCTGTCCAGGTGCCCTGTGTAAGGTTTCATGAGCTAGGGTTGTAAGGAGTAAGTTGGATCTCCTAGGATTACTATGGGCATTTCCACACACCCCACTGTGAACTTGTGGTCTGGAAAGAAAGTCCCCCACCTGCAGCTTTCTGTACAGGCCACTGTTCCTGAAGATGCGTGCCTCATGCACCTTTCCAGACCAGCCTGCATTGATGTCCATGAAATGCCCCTGGTGATCCACAAGCGCCTGCAACACCATGGAGAAGTATCCCTTCCTATTGATGTATTCAGAGGCAAGGTAGTCTGGCATTAAAATTAGAATGTGTTGCCATCAATCGTCCTGCAACAGTTAGGAAAATCCATCTCTGCAAAGCCATCCACTATGTCATGCACGTTTCCCAGAGTCACAGTCCTATGCAGTAGGATGCGATTTATTGCCCTGCACACTTGAAGTAATACAGCCCCAACAGTGGACTTTCCTACTTGAAATTGATTTGCGACTGACCGGTGGCAGTCTGGATTCGCCAGCTTCCACACAGCTATTGCAACATGCTCCTCTACCAGAAGGGCAGCTCTCAATCTGGTGTCCTTGCGCCGCAGGTCAGGGGCCAGCTCAGCACATAGCTCCATGAAGGTTGCTTTACACATCCTAAAGTTCTTCTTTGAGTGATTGCTCATGTGTATTTCACAATAGGCGCGTGCTCGCCATGTGCACCGGTGGAAGTTTTTCCCCTAGGAGTACCCATAAGGGAGCACCCCTAACGACCCCTGGAGTGGCACCTCCATGGTATAAGGGGCACTGTGTGCTCCCCCCACCCTCAGTTCCTTCTTGCCGCTAGTGAAGGTGCTTTGGAACTGCTCTGCTCAAGCTTTGCTGTAGCTTGTCCCCAGCCTCTTGTTCGTTAAGTGTATGTGACCTGTAGTTAGCATTCGATTAGTTTAGTTTAGCTAGTGCGCCCGGGCCGGGGCATGTCCCATGCCCCGGGTTTTAAGTTGTGCGACACTTGTAGGCGCCCGATGTCAGTGAGTGATCCGCACGTGGACTGTCTACACTGTTTGGGTGAAACTCATCTCGGTGATCGCTGTAAGATTTGCAGACTCAGTCCAAGTGAGAGAGAGACATTAGGCTCTGGGCTATCCTCATGGAGTCGGCGTTGACCCCGACTCTGCGTGCCGCTCCAAGTCAGCACTGGGCACCGTGATATTGGTGCGGGGCGACCCCCCCCGGCACCATCTACTAGTTGGCACTGCTCCATGTCCATGGGGCACGCCAAGAAGGCTAAGAAGAGACCTTTTCTGCTGTGGCACCAGAGTAAATCTGGGTCAGAGACTAGACCCGTGTTGGGCAGTCCTTGATCCCCATTGGGCTCTAGGCCTTCAACTTAAGTCGAGTGGAGTAGTCCGGCCCAGTCTTAGCAGGCTTCCCCAGATGTCCGGATGCCCTCAATGCCAGAGGCCCTGCAGGTGGCCGGGGACATCATGTCCATGCCGGTACCAGGAGTACCACCAATGTTGGCCC